GTGTTGTCGAAGTCGTTCGACAACACGCGCTGCACGCGTGAACCCCGTCTTTGAGCGTCACCAGCACCATAGACATACATTAGACATAGATTAGGTGTGGCAGCTCTATACAGCTCTGGATGTAAACACGTAGTCTGTTTGCTATATGTCTGCGTTTTACCTGACTGCATGCTGAAAGCACGTGACACCTTACAGCCATTACCGAAACTTGACACCGAAAAAAGAGTGACGTTTCAATCCATACACCGTCTGGTGCAGTTCGGTTGGTACCATTTAAGAACCTCGGTTTGGTACTCAGCTCTAGGTAATAAACAAAAAATGAGCAGGTTTACATGAAAAATGCTGTAGTTTCAATGTCAGTCGGGTTGTCAGATAAGAAATAATGAGCTATAGTGCTGTGGCTTTAAGATGATAGTATTTTACCTGAACTGTCATATGTGCTGAGTAAAGATATTCTAAGATTCAGTTCAGATTATAAACTGAAGAAATGTTTTGGATTAAAGATGAAACGTTTCTACAAGAATCTGTCAAGAGGACCTGACTCACCTTTTTAGATCTTTAATTTGGAAGATTTTTGTTCAGATTCCTTGGACAGTAATGCCCTTTTTGCACTGCCCCTAATAAGCCCCAACTCTGCTCAGCCCTGCACACCGCTACTCAGCCTGGCTCAGCTCAGCCTGGATTTGCACCTGCACTTTAGGACCGATTCTGGAGGCGTGTCCAGAATCCAAGTCCTGCTAATGAGAGTTCTGCGATGAGTTACTCAAAGCAGTCTGGTCCTCAGATAAATAATATTAAATTATTATTTTTATATATGAATGTTTCTGTTAACTTATTTTATATATGAATATTTCTGTTCAGTGCCCTAACACGACTTCTGTTGTGACTTGGCACTGTATAAATAAACTGAACTGAATTAAATCTGATTAACCAGATTCTACAAAAACATTTATATTTAAATCTAAAATAGTTAAGTCTGGTCCTCTTGACGTTCAAAAAACAAAACAAAAATGTAGAAATGTTTCTTCTTTCATCCGAAAGACTTCTTCAGTCTGAGGAGCTGTATTCAGCTCATAGCTATTGTAGATGAACAGATGCTGAGATATATTCATCAATTAAAACGGATTCTTCATTTTTCTGGACTGAATATAAACGTGCATTGAATTTAATGAAATGTGGACGTGAGACGTTATTTATCTTTGACCCATCAAAATGAATGTGGCCATTTATTTACAGAATCAAAGTTTAACATCAACATTTACATTAATTTGGCAAAATATGAAAATAACAACATAATTAATCAGCGAGCTGTACAATTATGATCAATTATCCACACGGCGGTGGATGAGCACTTTACACAGACATTTCTAAAAATATCTGTCAATGATTTCTACTTGATAGAAGAATTTTTAAAGATGGAAAGATGAAGTTTAGTGGGAGTGAAAGATAGATGAGGGAGAATGTGGTGTGTATGTGTGAAAAGTGTTGACAGGATGACACCCTCCATCCGACCCAGCTTTTCCTCGGTACGCTCAGTAGGGGACTAGACTCATTTACCTCTCTGATGATGAATCAGAAGAAGAGGAGCTCCAGTTAACGCTACCTTTCAGCGTCTCCATAGGATGGCTGTGACTCGTCCGAAGTAGTGACGATATCCCGTCTGACACAAGTTCACCTCAGCCAGTGGACCTCACATGAGTGGGGTTTGTCCGAGTTCCACTCAGAGGTGAAGATGTTATAATCCCATAAAACTCGGAAGAGCTCTATCATGTCAGGGTTTTCCTGTTTCCCAGCCAGACTCCAACAGAACTCACAGAACTGAGAACTGGGCACATCACAGAACTGCCACTTCACCGAACATCTCAGAACTGCTACCACACAGAACTGGGAGAACTAGGAAGTACCGACATTTTAAAGAGGCTCTATTTCCGGTTCATTTGAGAGTTCCTGATTGGTCAATATCAACCAGACAGGGGTGTGTTTTGTGATGTAAGAGGTTACTAGAAGTCAGAAAACAGCAAGAATGTTATTGGAACAGATTGAAAATGTTCCCAGACAGGAGAGAGAAATGTTTGGTCGAGTTTGGAGAAACAGGTGCCAACTCCTCTGTTTACGTCTGAGAGGATTTAAAACAAGACAGTTGTTCCAACACATGTCTGCTTCGACTCCTGACCTTGGAAAACGTACACTGCTCATTCAAAGACAGAAATCAGAAAATGCATAATTACTCTGTAACAGGCCTTAACATGAATTCTACTTTGCATAAGCAACTAAAAAATCATTGTTACTGTTTTACAGTTAATAAAATTGATTAGTTCACTGTAACATCTAAAATGTTTGAACTAAAACACTTTGATTATCAAACATTTGTAAAACAGGAATGATAATAGAAAAGAGAGTGTTCTTTCACTTGATTTTCAAGAAAGAAAGTCTCAGGATGGGTGAACCTGTATTTCTGGATTCAAATCAATGAAATGACAGTTTCTGTCCCACAAGGGTCTTAAGGTCAAGGGTTTTGATCTTAGGCTTCGTTTTGACATCAGGTCAAGTTCACTACACTATTTATATAAGACTGAGCTGAATACAGCACCTCAGACTGAAGAAGTCTTTCAGATGAAAGAAGAAACATTTCTACATTTTTTTTTGTTTGTTTGTTTTTTGAACATCCAGAGGACCACACTTAACTTTTTTAGGTTTTTCTACCTGGATTATTGAGCATGCAACAGTATATCTATATTTAAAATTCTATATTTTTCTTCATCATTTTATGTATTTGTACTCACTGTGGTTTGGTTTCTTGTATACAGTTATTTTTTTGTGTATACAGATTATTTTTAGCTTTGAAATAAAGTTTAGCTTTGATTTAAAGCTTTAATTGGGAGGCAGGCACCTATTATTCTACACCTCGGAAGAGTGTCTACATTTCTATCTCCGTTAATGCGGCCCGAATCACAGCGTCTACCCCCACAAAGTTTAGATCAAAACGACTGGCTTGGGTCCATGATGTGTGCCATTACTTTTGTTGGCATTTCGAGTTACTATTGCAATGTAATTTGCGAACAAAGACGCAATATTTCACCAACTCCAGGAACTAGTTGGTGACTGCACACTTATTATTCTACACCTAAAAAGCGTATCTTTTTCAACTTTAATGTGGGCCGAACCACAACATGGACCCCCACAAAAGTTGTATCAAAACGACCGGCTTGGCCCCGGGAAGTGTGCAATTACTTTTATTGGCATTCACAGTTACCATGGTGACATATTTTGCTAACAAAAATGCCAAATTTCCCATAGGAAATGAATAGGAAAAAACTCTTCACAGAAACTAACATCAGGAGCCATTTTGGTTCAACATGCAAGGAAGGCACCTATTATCACCTATTATTATTATTTATTAGTAATAATAATAATACATATTAATTATAAATTATTAATGTTAATAATTATCTATTTTAATATCAATAATTATTTATATTAATAAGTAATATTTAATAATACCAATTATTGGCGTGAAAATAATTAATAATGGTGATTACTTATTCATATTTAATAATAACTAATAAATTATCAATATATTAATAATAATTAGTAATTATTATTAATAATAAGTTATATTAATATATATTATTAATAATAATTTAATAATAAATAGGCTGTCCCCATCAAAGTTTCTCCAGGAACTTTCTAGTTTAAAGTGTAATGCTTGTTTTTTGATTTGTACATCTGTGGGTTAGAATAATGTTGAATCAAAGGCTGTGTCTCTTCTTTAAACATGTTTGAGGGAAATATGATAGATTCAATAATTTTGTCTTTATAATTTTTCAGTTGAATTAACTTTAACAGATTATTTAATAAAATAAAAGGGAAAACAGGATTTCACGATAAAGCCGGAACCGTTTATTTATTTTTAATCTTCACTGATAAAAATAAAAAAAAAACTTATATTTTATACAAAAAATGTAATAAAAAAAAAATTTTCGTCCCTCCATCCCGATCCTCCCGCCTGCCAGGGCTTGAATCCGGCCTTTGTGAGCAGGGCTTCAACAGCTCGGCAGCTCATATGATCCTCTGCGGTGACACCGCTTGCTCGAATTTTATAGTCTGTCACCAAACTTTACTAATTGGCTTTTATGTATGTTAATGTTCCTGTAAAGTGCCCTGAGACAACTTTGTTGTGATTTGGTGCTATATAAATAAACTGAATTGAATTGAATTCAAATACAAAATACACCTGGACTTCAGAATTAAACACGGCGTTGTCATTAATGTTTTTAAAATCTTAAAAATAGATCCAGCCGCTGCTCCGCATCCAGAGAAATTGCAAATGGCGGCTCAGTGAAAAGTTTGAGATCCATTGTCTCCTCCCCCTGACCAATCAGAGTCCTGCATTCACGTTTGGTCCGGACTCAGCTCGGCTGAGCTTGCTCGATCCCACCAGAGAAGCAGGGACGAAAAGAGGTCCTGAATCAGCCTCAAATCAGCTAAATATACTAGCTAAAGGGCTGGTGCAAAAGGGTTCTTTCTGTGGTGGGCTGCCCAGAATTGGGGCTTATTAGGGGCAGTGCAAAAGGGGCATAATTTTCACTGCACACAGTTCCTTGTATAGATTTCTTCAAACAAAACACTTTTTTTCTGGTCTAGTTCAGAAACTTTGATCCATTTTAATACTCAAACTGTCTCCTTTAACCCTGGAGAGAAACTAAAATATGAATCTGATTCATGGATCCATCGATCCTCCTCTGTCTGCGGCTGACCCTGGACAGAACCTTGAATGTTCTTTCTGTCCCCCCTCAGGCCCAGAGTCTCCCTACACCCACTGGAAACAGACCGTTTTTTACCTGGACGATTACCTGACCGTCAAGACCGGAGAGGAGATCTTTGGCACCATCAGCATGAAGCCAAACGCCAAGAACAACGTAAGCAGATGAAGCTCCGCCCCCCACTTCTTGTCCTCTGTTCTGAACTTGTTGTCTGATGTGTTGTGTTTGGACCTGCAGAGAGACCTCGATTTCGCTGTAGACGTGGACTTCAGGGGCCAGCTGTGCGACATGTCAAAGACGTTGGAGTACAGAATGCGTTAGAAGCCCCTCCTCTTTGTGCTGGTGTTCATTAGGACAGAATACGGTTTAACTGGGGGGGTGTTCTAGTGAAATGCTCCCTCACAGCAACATTTTAGTCATGTTTTCTTATTCCGTCATTAACAGTATTTAAAAACCTTTCCACATCTGAGTTGAACCTGTGCTCATTCCTGTGTCTACTCTCAACATCTGGCTCAAGCGTGGCCCAGCTGTTGGTCTCTGTGTCTGTCAGCACGTGGTTCAGGTTTGTTACAACTAAAGATGAACTGTTTCCTCCTTGAACCGTCCAAAAGCAGGCAGCTGCAAGTTGGACTCACCCACCCAGCAGTTTTGGACCAGGCAGTAACGTGTGAGCTCCCACTGCATCTCAACCCACGTTTCCACATTGGTTTGAATGTTTTACAAAGTAGTCTTATTAGAAATGAAAGTGTAACATTCTATGAGCAGAGCTGTTAGCTGTGATTTGGGACGTGGTGCTGAAGAGTTCTGCACGGATCTAAATCTGACCCAAAGTCTAGACTGATCTAAGTTCTGGTCCCAGCTCGTTCCCTAGATGGATCTGGATTCATCATGTCTAAGAGAGATAGAGGTGGAAATGGCAAAAAATAAATGATTTATGATACTTTTCTTTTGTAATGTTGTTGGGGTTTTTTTTGTTGTTTTTTTTTTAACTGAAACTAATAAACATTTTGTTTCTTCATCAGTTCCGAGTCTTTGTTTGCTGTAGTTCAGGGTTCTTTACCCAGGAAACGGGAAAAACTCGACACGGCTGTTCAACTGGTGTCACATGGGTGACTCAGGTCTGGACCACCAAGGTCAAGATTTTCTCGTCATTCGCACCACGTACATGAGGTGTGAATAACGTGTACACAAGGTCCCAGTTAATCCAACAAAAGTATAAATTTGTAAAATTAAGATCTAAGATGAACTAAGCAGCACTAATAAATGGACTACAGCACTTTTCTATCTAAGACTGAAAAAAAAAAAACAATCGGCCTCAATTATCCATTCATACAGAAGTACTAGATCTGTACAAAGACTTATCAGAGCTTTAGCACATTCATAAACTGATGGGATATGCTGGTGAAGATTCTCAGTCATCCAGGACATGATGAATTCAAAAAGTGTTCAATACATAAACAACTGGACTTTATTTTTAATGGAAGATGTTTCGCTCCTCATCCGAGGAGCTTTCTCAATTCAAACAGCAGCGAGTGAGAGATTCAGGTTATAAGGCTGAGAGAGATAAGACACACACAAATAGATTGGCAATTCACACCTTAACAGTAGGGGTTTCTTGCAGTCTGTTGCTCGTAATTCACAGACAAGGCCCCTCTGTTCCCTTCAAGTGTGAAAATGGCTGGGAATCAGTCTTATTAAAGTTGCATTATATTTTTTTGAAAGTGGAAATCTGAGGCCTCCTCCTGTTAAGAGACGGCTTTTCTCATTTTACATAAATTGCTTCCTTCACACACGCCCCCCCCCCCCAAACATGTGGAGTCAAGTCATATTTATTTATAGAGCACAATTTAAAACAGACTGTTATCAAAGTGCTTAACACTAAGGGTAACACTGAGAAATAAAAAGCAGTAAGAATATACCTTAAAAAATTAAAACAACAGCATTAAAATGAAGACATGGAACAAGATATACTAAATCAACTCACACAGTATGAAACACCAGAGAGAACAGATATGTTTTTAGCAGGGATTTGAACACAGGAAGGGAGGTGGCATGCCTAATGTTGGGGGTAGGTTGTTCCACAGTTTGGGACCCATGACTGAAAACGCCCGATCTCCTCGGAGCTTCAGTCGTGTTTTTGGAACAACCAAAAGCAGCTGATCGGATGATCTCAGAGCCCGAGAGGGAACATATGGTTCCAGTAGCTCAGAGAGGTAGATGGGTGCGAGGCCATTTAGGCACTTATAGGTCAGGAGGAGAATTTTGAAATCAATCCTAGTTCTCACAGGAAGCCAGTGTAGGGAGGACAGAACTGGTGTGATATGCTCATACCTCGGTGTACCGGTTAAGAGCCGAGCTGCAGGACTTCCGGTTTTGTGACTAATGGAGTAAGACGTGTTGGACGGAGCTCC